TTAATGTTCATTATGTCAATTTTAAATGATACAAAATGCCTTCCCCAAAAGGCATCCTGATTTCAAGAAGTCAAAAGTGTACCTGGCATTAAACAGCCTTGAGTCAATCCTGGTGGGATTAACTGGACTGAGTTTCTGTATACTGCACATGCTATGGATCTACTTTGATCACAGTAAGGAAAAAAATGATAATAGATTTTTTTTAAAAGAATTGCTGCACAGGAGTGTTCCGTTTCTTTTATATGTCAGAGTTTGATCTTGATAAAAACCTTTTAAAACATCCTTTTCCCCCCACTATGGTAAAGAGATCATATCTATTTTTGCTTTTCTTTAAGAAAAGAAAATGGGGATTGCTTACACGGGGAAAGAAAATTTTATTCTCCAACACCCCCTCCCATTCTACTAAACCATTTTAGTCGACATATGTTTGTTATCAGAGAGAGGTGCTGTGAACACACAGCCATTTTCTTAGCAGCTTTTTGACTGTATGTTACCATAGTCCCACAAGGCATTGGTCCTTTCCCATTGGGAAGTCATGAATAAGAGACTATGAAGCTTGCACGTCAGATCTTCCTCAATTAATCCACCATTAGCATGTTTGGGATCCACTACTGGATGGTTAACAGCAGCTTTTGCAACTGTACGCCGACCATATCCAATTATGCTCTGCTAAAAATGAACTCTTTGCAGACCAACCCTCTCGGCTGTCAGTGTTTTCCGTTTTCCTATTTTAACGTTTGTGTATAGTGGCAGGCGACAGATGGTGTAGATCAGATCGATTTGATTGCATTAGATGATTTTTTCCCTTCCCCACTCCTTTCTGGAAGCTCGCATCAGCTGAAGGCTATCGCCTGGGACTCCTCGGAAGCATGAGCAAGCCGCCACCACGCGAAGGCATTGGGGCACAGCCAGCGCTAGGCGCCGAGGTCCCTTCCTAGGGCTTGTTAACACTGTAACCCGGCACTCGGAGAGAAGAAGCAGCTCCCACTGCCCAGAGCCTACCTCACCGCACATCAGATGACTCCCTGGCTTCTACACACAGTTGGAGTTCCGCTTGAAACCTGGATTTAGAGGGTAAGCACTTCAATCGAGATGGATTTGTGACAGTTACTTTGCCATACAGCAAGACAAATCTCAGCAAACGTAAAGGATGTAGGATGTATGGGAGAGGGAGACTATGTTTACATCGAAAAATGTGTTTCTTTTTGTCTGAGAACGAGAGTATTATTCAGTAAAGATGTGTATACTCTTTTTCCATTGATTGTAAGAGTCGACTACCACCCTCCTCCCGATTTTTTCTCTCTCCTTGGTGTTTCCCCCTTTCTACTTGAGAGGGAAGGAGAGAGGGAGAGGGAGGGAGTCAAGGGGGAAGAGAGAGAGAGAGGGAGAGGGGGGGAGAGGGGGGAGAGAGAGAGAGAGAGAGGCATTTCAGCTTTAGCTTAATTGGCTTATTTCCTCAAACCGATTGCTTTGTCGCGTTTCTTTATGTATTTTTGGTTGCAAATTGCGAAGCGATTAACTGGAATGGGTGTTGGAGTGTGGGGGATACCATACGAAAGTACTGGGAACCGTCAGTGAGTCGCGGTGGCCTTGAGAGATCAAAAGGTGCTGAAAGCCCCCTGCCCGCAAAACACACCTCTAGTTATTGGGGCGCGAGAGAAATGTAGATTCTAATAAACATGGCTTGCAGGAGTCGATGAACAAAGGTACTTAATGCGGACCTAAGCCTCCGCTGATATTGTTCCGCTAGCAGTATCTAAATATTCAAAAGCGAAGTGTAAGTTGATCAACAAACGCCCTAATGGTATTGGGCTTTTTCCCTTTTCTGTTTTTGTGTGGAGGGTGGAGAAGAGGGGGAGGGTGGATGGGTGGGGGAAATCCGACAGCTTAAGGAGGCTTGAATTGAATATGCACCCAGCGGCAGTGGTCTCGTAGGAAATGGTGTTCTCGTAAGTCAGGCTGCCCCGCTCAAGCACGAGAAAGCTTTGGTTAGAGCTCAGAGCGTCAGTTCTGCTGCGAGTGCTGCCGGCTGTCGGCCCGGGTTGAGCTGTCCACTCGTCCAGGTGCTGAAGCTGGTGGAACATTGGGTAGGTAGGGAAAAGGCTGGCACTGCTACTTGGGTAGAAAGAAAGCATATCAACTGCGTTGTTCTAGTTTCTTAAAGCTTGTAAGTCTGTGGGTCACTGTGTGTATATATTTCATTTTAATTGTGAGGAAGCAAAACTGAAGGAGACTACTTGGAAAGCATTGAAAAGCTGTGTGGGTATTTATGCTGTGATTCTGATGCCCTGTGTATTGGTGTGTGTCTGTGTGTGTGTGTCTGTGTGTGTGTGTGCCTCCCTTGACCATCCTTTTGAATTTAAAACGTTCCATTTAGTAAATCCAAGCCTATCTGTATAATGTGTTTCTTGTTTTCCTTTTAATATTAGTTGAGATTTAAATAGAAGAGTGCAGAAGCAAATGTACACTTTGCTCATAGACTATTGCATTACTTTCCCTAAGGGCTTTTGTTTCTAGGAGTTCAAGCTGAAGAGAACCTGTCAGCTTTCTGAATTTTTTTTTTCTTTTGGTTCTAGCCCCAGAGAAAAGCTCCACTTTATACCTATGTTAGGTAACAGCATAAAACAGTGCTTATTTATTTGTTTTATTGATATCTGTCTTTTTGTAAGTGGTGTACTCAAGAGTTATCTGAAAATAATGTAAAACAGGCTGGTAGTTGGGCTATACTGGTTTTCTTTCTAGTTATTTTAGGTTCAGACATTATATATTAAACATCTATTCATAAAACCTAGAATTCAAGTTGATTTTTCCATCTGTAAGTCACATGTCAAGAAAATGATGAGTTGGTGTGCCTGGATAGATATTATATTTTTTTAAAAAAAAAAATAAGAGCAAGCACAACCTAAGTGCCTTAAATTGCAACCAGGTCAGTTAAAGATGAGTTGTGGTAGTGGGAGAGATTCTGTTATATAATTACTCCTTGATGAAGAGCTATTTGCACTTACATAATTTGGGAAATCATAATGTCTATTGCCATGTTTCCATATTCCTCCCCATTCCCCTTACATGGATGTACTTTCATGTATTTGAGAGTAAAGGGGAAAGCAAATTGAGAACTTTCTAATGAAGCTACACCATGTCTTGGGTAGTGACGTTGCACTTGTCCATTTTATTTAGTGAACAATAAACCCCCATTATCAGAATATCCACTGCAGGATCTTAAGACAAAGCTTTTCCAGTAAGAGCCATATTGATCATCAAAGAATCACAGAGATTCTCTCTCTAAATGCCAAAATTACACTCACTTTGCAAATGAGTTTTTATTGGCTTTCTCTTCTTAAAATAATTTTTATGAACACAGAGCTTCAAAGGTTTTTCTGTAGAGGTGTCCACAACAGCTGTACAGCAATGCATTTATAGTATATATTTTAAAGGTGTGCTATGAAATTAAATATTGTGGTGATATAAAATGATACTTAAATCATAGAAGCTCTACCAGCTTCTCAACTCAGTTAGTTTTGATACTATGGAAAATGGATTTAATTATTGTAAGCCTTGGAGCTTTTTTTTTTCTTTAAAAATCATTATGTTGTATAGCTCTAAGGCCTTCAAAGGAAAGATGCCTATTTTTGTAAATCTATAAGTATTTGATTTCAAGTAGTAAATTGAATAACTGTTTATTTTCTATGATCTTGGACTTGAGAAAAATGCATTTCCAAAACATACTATTGAAAATTTCACCCATGCATGACCCTATCTTTAAGCCTCACTTCTTCCCAAAGCCGTCTGGGCAAATATATTTGTAATGTTTGTGTGGGTAACTATTCATGTCTCTTACAGGGTTCTCTGGCTGCCATGGCACTCAATCAAACCACCTAGAGCGGACTGGCCGAGACCAGACTGGGTACCAAGCAGAGAAGTGCAGAGGAAGGCACTGGGAGAGCACCAGGTAAACTGAAGGTTACTTGTCACTCCCACTTGTGCCCAAAGATCCTTGCCACATCTTTCCTCCTCACTGGAAAGACAGCACTCTTCTGTGTTAAGTATTTGGTTTTGTGATTTGTGTTTCAGAATTGGAAATAGAGCGGCCATTTGGATTTGGGCAGGAAGCAGCCGAGCACAGCTTTGGATCCTTCTTTAGGGAAATCGAGTTATGGATTTATGGTCCCGGTCAAGCTCAGCCCATCCCCAGCCAGGGGCGGGCTCAGCGAGCAGCAAGAGTTCTGGTGGCGGCAGCGGCGGCAGTAGCAGCGGCAGCGGTAGCAGCGGCAGCGGCAGCTTGGTCCTCTGACTCTCTTCGGTGACGGGTATTCTTGGGTGGATAATACGGATTACGTTGTTATTGCTTAAGAATACGCGTAGTCGAGGAGAGTACCAGCGGCAGGGGGGCAGCGGCCGCCCTCCCCAGCCCACCAGCTGGCCACTAAACGCCCGTGGTTGCCAAGGTAGCACTTTCTTGTTCTTTTCATTTCCTCGGGTATTTTCGCACTGGTTCCACCGGAAAGGCTGTGCGCTGCGCCTCTGGTGACCAGGACTGGAAAATGGGTTCGCGCAGGGGGCGGGGGGCGAGGTGAAGAGAATGGGCGGGGAGAGGAAGGGGGTCCGTTCCCCCGAGCCTATGGGGCGGTTCTGCGTCCCCTGCCCGCTCCTCTCCTCTCCACGGTGGGGTGCGGCTCGGGGGAGAGACGCGTTCTGGGCAATTTTCTAAAGTTGGGAACGACTGAAAGGCCTTGAGCAGTTTGGGAGCGTCGCGAGTGAGGTGCTGAAGCTGGGCAGAGGGTCGCTGGGGGCTGCCTCCGCAGAAAGGGCGTGTCCGTGGGCGAAGGTGCCCCCGCAAGCCTGCGGAAGCGCGTGACTTCGCGAATCCCGGGCCCGGGGCGGTGCCGGAGCCCCACCCCCGGCCGGCCGCGCCGCTCCGCAACCAGACTAGGCGGTCGAGCTGGGGAGGGGGCGGGGGTCCGGGGGCTGGGTCCCCGCGGAACTTCCAGATCGGAAGTGTGGTGGGTCTCTCAGGAACGCATATTTTCTTTTCGGATTCTCCGAGAAGGGGTGGAGAAACAGGATGGGAACCGGATTGGTTGCAGTGTGGCACAGACCTGGAACCTTCCTGAAAGAGGTTGGGGCAGGCAGTGACTGTTCAGACGTCCAATCTCTTTGGGACACCTCTTCAGCGCTGTCTTCCCTGCCTCTGCCTTTAGGACGAGTCTCAAACACCAACAAACTCAAGGCACGTCCCCTCTCTCAGGTCAGCTGCGAAGGGACGGGAGCAAGAGAGAGCCTCTCCCTCCTTCTACTTCGAGTTTTTGTTTGTTTGTTTCAAAATATTAATGGACGATAAAACAACACGGATTTGTCACCTCCTAGCGAAGAGGAAGCTACCGCCACCAACTCCCTCAAGCATGCCCGGGCACTTCTGGGGACAATCGGACGTGGCAGGAGTTGGCATGCCCAAGATGGAGCTGGGAAGGATGACCCAGAGTGGAAGGCGTGGGCCGGTGCTCCAGGTCTCAGCTTTCGCCGTCGTCGAACCACACAACTTTGCCAGCTTTGCACTTTGCCTTTCCCTATTGTGAGGCATCTGGGACCGTCCTATCAAGGCGCTTCAAAAGTGTAAGGACAGAGTGCTGGGGACAAGAACGTACCAGGGGCCCAGAAGAATTCACTAGCGCGGCCAAACACTAAGACCAGGTTTCCTCCCTGCGTAGTGGTCGTTGGTTGTGCACGGGCTGCGCACGAAGACTGAATTTCTGAGAAATGGAAACTGCAGGAGAAAAATCAAATAAACTTAGAGGCCTGCGAAGCTCTCCCTCTCGTCGCTCTGGGATCCCTCTAAGCTGACCTGCAACTCATACACCTTCTGCCCCTGGAGGATGGGCCTTTCCCAGGCACGAAGTGCGTGTGCCCCACTGGGCTTTTGCCCACAAGAGTGGTCTGAATCCTGGAGAGGCTGACACCGAGGTGTCTTGAAGGAGGCAGGCACACTCTTATGCTTCCCCACCTAGGGTTTCGCCTTTCTTCTAATATTTAGGATTCCCAGTGAAGGGTACTCCACACACACGCTCTCCCTACCCCTAATCCCACCCCATTGTGTCTGATCCCACAATTACTCCCAGGGTATCTATACTCACAGTTTTTGCGCTCAAAAAACATTGCTGTCTGCAGGGAACGGGTGGAGCCCTTCTCAGAAGCTCCCGGGGGCGAGTCCATTTTAAGAATGAGTTGAAGTAGGAAAGAAAACACAGATGCTGTCTTTGCATTCGACATTCTATCACCAGCAAGAGAATATGTAACTCCTGTTCTTTCCTTCATTATTCCATGAATTACCTTCTTTCTCTAGGGATCCACCAGTTGGTGATTTAGGGCTTTTAAATATTGTGCTTGTTATGTATTTAACAAAATGCAATATGTCTACTGGTGGCATTGTTTCATTGGGAAATTAGAAAAGTAGAAGCTACATACTTTAGCTCCTAGGTGGTCTCTAGAAAGTTGGCCTCATGCTGGTTGGCTAAATAATAAGTGTTTAGGATTTGAAAGAAAGAAAGAGAGTTGAAGGCCTGGTGACAGAGTTTGTGAGAAACCAAAGATGTAACACTCTGGCATTTGTTGAGGGGATGAGGAAGAACTTTTGAAAAATAAGCTGTTCTATTCAGTTTCGTGCAGATTTATTGCAGTTGCTTCATCGAAGAAGAGTAATGTTTAGAGTGGAATAATTGCAGATGCTAGTGATGAAATCTAAAGGAAACCTCTACTCATAGTTAACAAAGTATTTTGTTGTTGTTGTTTAAATACTTATCTCATTGCTTTCTTTCCTTTGCAGAATCATTTTCCTATAAAAGCTTCCATTAGGTGTCAGTCTGACTGAACTGGTTCTTATTTAAGTTTGGGGTGAAAATGTTCCATCATCAGACCTTTTAAGATAAGAAAGTGGGAAAAATTAAAACTTTATTAAGTTGAAATTACTGGAGGTAGTTTTTATTGTTACAAGGCAGCTTTTTTCTTTCCAGAAAAATAATGTAAAAGTCTATCACCACTAGTCAATTACTGATTTTGCCCTGTCACTGTCCATAGCCAAGATTAAGGAAGTACAAAATGCTTGTTTGTGCTTTTCATGCTAGATGCAAGTAGTATTAAGTAGTCATAATTTTTGGATGGCTTTTCAGTTGATGTCCTAATACTAGAAGGGTAAGCAGCCTTTTCTAATATTTGTTTTGCTTTACAAAGGTGATAGAAATTTTTCCTGAAAAAAGGAACATAGATTCAGCTTAAGCTGTTCATTTGACAATACTGAGGGCACAGTAAAGGAGAAGGGAGACAAATTGTGAAAATTACTTTTGTCCACTAGTTTTACTTTAATAAAGCCTGCCTAAATACTCAGAATTTATGAACACAATTTGTGATGTATAGGTGGGAGATTTTAGGTTGCCCATTTAAATTTATATAATGTCTATAAATGATCAATTTTATACTGTAATATTCATTAATAAGTGTAAGAAGAAACATCAGCTTGATTGGTCGTTTGCTACCGGGTCCCAAGTAAGCAGATTGATAGAAACTGCATTTTTCAGAAAATTTGCTTATTTTATTCTTTGTATTTGTGAATCCTGTTCTGATGTTGTTGCTTGAATAGAATTGTGGGGAGTGGTGATGGTATTCATGGTTAAAGATCCATAGAGCATCATGACAACCCCGTGAACTTTCCCCGAGGCTATTGTGAGCCCTAGAATGATGTGGCTGTTGGTGTCAGAGCAATGGCAATCTAGAACCAGAACAGAGGTCCCAGTGAAAGTCCAAGCAAAGGCAAGAAACGATGAAGTAGCATTTTGATGGAAGGAATATTCCATAAACCCTATTATCAATTTTTGTCTTACATTCCACATTAGTCATGAGAAATACTCAAATATAAAAATATACAACAAAGGTAGAGATGATGGGTATATTGGGAAACATTTTTGTGTTTTATGTAGGGCAGAGGAGAAGTACTAAGGACATAGACGGAAAGACAGTATAAGGCCATCACAGTTGTTCACCATCTTGTCAATATATACAGGTGCAGCTACCATTGTATTACAGAAATGACAGAATGATGTTCTTACAGTGTTGGAAAGTAGTGTATTCTGCATAGGAGACTTACTATTTAAAAGTAAATTTCTTTTGGATGTATTTTCAGTAAGAAGAAAAAATGTAATAATGACATCAGAATATTTAAGGACTTTTAAATCATTTAGCTATTGAATTTAGTTATTGATAGCTGTACAACTATAAACACGAATGCTAAATAGATTTTAAGCAAATAGCTTTGTAGCACAATTTGTTTTTTAAATGTTTTCAGATTTTTATCTTAGTGCTTATACTTTAAATCATGACTTACAAGTCTTATGTTTAAGTCTAGAAAACATTTTGCATGAGTGTATAAAATAAACATTTTAGTTGAGGAAACAATGCAGTTCATCCAAAAAAAACATAAGCCAGAAAAGATATATTATAAAATTTAAAATTTCTTGAAATGTGTTTATCACCCAGTAATTAGTCGAGTTTGTGGAGTGCAACCTAACAATAAAATCAGTATATCTGTATATTTGTATCATTGACCAGCTCAAAAATGTATTGCCAGCTATATCTTGTGAGTTCTGAGTTCTGTTATCCTGGCTAATAATAATGTGAGCTAAGCAAGGCAGTCTGATCTTCAACACAATTAAAATATTATAATGCATATGCAAGGGTAAAGACAACACTTCATTTGCTTTGTTTGTGGAAAAGGCCTTTGAGACTCCTAGTATTTGAAAATATATACATATATAGTAGATCAAGCTAGAACCAAATGTTAAAAACCGGAGTCCTAAAGCATGCAGTTCAAAGATATTAAATAAGGGTTATTGCCTTTATTAATTTTAAACCAATACTGAATCTCGTTCAGTTAAATTACAAACTAAAGAAGACGTATTGCTGGAATCTGTTAATACTATGTTTTCAGTTAAAATGCAATTTATATCATAATATGCTTTTTAAAAAGTTGACAAACTATATTACAATAGTGACATAATTGCATAATTTGAAAGTAGTGTCTATTTGTAAACTTGAATGAAATGTGTGCTTTTTGGAAACACTTTTTCTGAAAAGATTATTTTTATAAAAATGATACATTTTAATTGGAAAATTGATATTTCTTGCAATTTTGTTTTTAAAATTTGTATTCAATACATGAGTGAGTATTAATTGTTTGAAGCCTATTTTTGTCTCTCTAAGCTAGTGTAGTCAATTTCAAGAACTGGTTCAAACAAGTCTCAAGATAAACTAAAAATTACTCATTTAAAATAGTTTTTTATATATCTGCCAAACAGTCCACTAGCTTTTGTACTCCAAGAAGAATGAATGAATGAATGAATGAATGAATGTCATGCCTGCTATTCTGTCAGAAGCAGATATGAGAAAAAGATCTTTTCCTTTGTAATGGAAATATATCATGATAAGACTTCCAAATATCCTGGATTGTTTTACAGATAACTACACAGGAATTAAAGTTGTAGAATGATTACTTTATGGATCCAGTTTCATGTAGGTTTTTTTCATAACTGTTATTTATATAGGATTTGGTGTTTACTGAAACAAAGCAAATTAGAGAATTGAGGCCATTACACCGAGAAATCTCAAATTTCATTTTGTCCCTCAATGACATGATACTTAAGGAGAGAGAATCTCTCCTGTGGTAGAAAGAACTTTGGAATAAGACTAGAAAATCTGATTTCGAGTACAGATTCTGTTGTGAACTATGACAATGGACCTGTCACACAGCTTGCCTTGTCTTCAGTTGTCTCATCCATAAGAAGGGCTAGATTTAGATTCGCTTAAAGCCTTTTTACCTCTTTAGGGTTCCATTTCAAAGAAAGTCTTTTTTTTTTTTTTTTTTTTGTGGTCTGAATCTATTCTTCATTTCATGTAAAGATGGCGTGCCAATTGATATCACAACTAAGAAGCTTTTAAAAAGTATTCACCAACATTTTATCTTGGTATTAAATAATAAAATGGTCTTTAAGATTTTTATTTAAATTCTTAAAGCATGAAACACATGGAAATATTTGTTGCTTTTTCATACTTCATTTTTTATTTGAAGTTTTAGTAGGGAAAAAAAGCCCCCAAAGAATGCTTTACAGATTCATTCTAATGTGTTAGCATGGGAGTACATGCATATGTATATCTGTATAATAAATCTGAAGCTACTCAAACCGTAGATCTATCTTCATAAGCATTTTAGCCTAATGAGGCCAAATCACAAACAACTCTATTCAAAGTTGATTTATATGATTGTAGCGGATAAAGAATGAACATGAAGAGTTGGCCTCTAAAAATGTTTACTCCTTGTGTAAATGTTTATACTATTAAATTCAATTACAATATTTAGAAGAGCGTGAAAATTACTGTGTTTGTTTCCATTCTGTTAAAAGGACCAATAATTGTCTAGGATATTTAATTCTTCTAAAATGGTTAATCTTTTAAAATACCTAGTCCAGTGTTTGGCACATAGTAGGTGCTCAAAATATTTATGAATTTTGTGAAAGCAATGATATCCTTTTGGGGCATATGTTAATATAAATTTTACATTTTTTCATAATTATTTAAAGTCACTATTACATAAAATGATTGTTGTACTGCATATATTTAAGTTTAATTTAATGTTAGACATAAATTTTAATTCTCAGATTTGTGTACTAATAGTGCAGTTCTTCTTTGCCAGGAAGGAAAATACATTGTCTCTAGTTATTTGATAT